CAAAAAAGTTTCAAGGACGAGGCCGCCTCAAAAAATAAAATTGCATTTATTCTGTAAACGCACTTTTCATAAATACATAATATTTCTTCTACCTAAAATTATATGATAGTTGTATAATAATGATTGGCCATTGAAATTTAACATAGAAAATTGTGAAGTCAGAAACTGAATATCGAGCGATAAAAAAAAGAATCGCGCAAGATAATAATTCCCACAGTTAAAAGATGAGATTTATGAGATCGGAGGTTAAGTTTAATAAAATAAAAAAATAAAAAAAAACATGAGAAGGATCTTGACATGACAAAGAAGAATGCACTACATGTTACAGTTAACTTTCTTCTTTTTCTTCCTCCTTCTCATTCTTATTCTTCTGCAAGAGAACGATCCATCTTTCACAGATGAATACAAACGCCATGCTGGATTACCAAAGAAAGTGACGAAGAATTGGAGAGCACGAAAGAGACCCAATAAACCTACATCGATCTTCATGGTATCGCGTTACTCTTGATGAGTAAAAAAGTCGTTAGGATTTTTACCTTTCCCGCTTTCGAAATCTACAGAAGAACCTTTCTAAAAATACGTTTCGCGATTCGAGCGAAAAAAAAGAACTTCTGCAGATTTTTGCGTCAACAGAACGCAATTTTCGATGTCACTTTCCTTTTTACAAGACGGGTTTTCATAATACCAAGGTTTTTATCAGGATGCTCCGAAAATATCAAATTGTCTTCTTCAATTATAAATCGGTAAATGAACAAGACAAGATGAAATCAACTTTCACACAGTAAATACATATTCGGGAATCATTGACATTAAAATTAAATATTTCACGAACAATACACGATTATTGATTAATTTCATTTACGAAACTGTAATTCAATGATGTTTGGATTTTCTATAGCAATGACATATTTTTTATCTCTTCGTCGTGCAAGATGCATTTAAAAAATAATCATATTTCGTTTTAATCAATTCATAAGGAGTAAAATTGCATTGATTAATATGCAACTTTAAAATAATATGAAGAATAATCTACGTTGATTTATCTTTCGAACATTATGCAGCTTTGCTAGATTTGCCAGAATGTGCAAGGAGTAACGGTACCTTTTATTTCTAACTTTAAAACCTATCACATACGAGTGCATGCGTTCGCAATCAGTTTTCCTAACTTACGACCGTACGTATTGACGAGCAGCATAGAGAAGAATATAGTGATTGGTGGTGGTGGCGGCGGCGGCGGCGGCGGCGTAAAACCGTCATTACCGCCAATTACAATAAATCCCGCGCTGTATTCTCCGCTTATCGTTTTCCGTGCGTCTACGCTGGAGGTGCGGTTTAATCTATAATCCAATGTGAAGGTAATGGGACACAGATATACGGGGTGTCCCGAACTCGCTGTTGTGCATAGATTAATAGCGCATACTAGACGTCAAACTGAAAAGAATAGCCTCGATATCGAGGCACAATTTTACAAATTATAAGCCCTCAGTGATTAAACTTCAAAGATGTGCAAGTACCAATAGACTAAAGAATTATTCTTCTAATTTGCTTATCAAGATATTTACTAATATTAAGAATTAAAAGGCTGCAGTAAACAGTAATCTTTCGTTAAAACTTTAGAAAAATGTTCATTCTCGCTTGAGAAGCAATCGTCGGGATGTACAGCGCGAATTTCAAGACACTCCGTAGATGCGTGTTTCAAAAGAGAGGCTCTCCCGCGAGAGGAAAGAGGGAGCGAAGAGGGAGAGTAACAGAGTGAAGGATCGGCAAAAAGACAGAGGAAAGCGGGTGTGCTCGCGCAGCGAGCACAACTGGCGCGGCGCGCGGGTAATCATTTTCCGCGGCTACACTTTCACGACTGATGATCGGGTAGCGTTTCAGCGGCGATCGGCACTGGTTGGCTGGCCAGATTT